ATTAACATTATTAGATTTAATGTTAGTTAATTTTTGTAGTATGATTACATGCCTATATTAGATGATAGAAATCATTATTAGATTTACTATTAGTTAATTTTGTACAACAATTTATTAGGTTGACGGTTTGGAGCATGCGAAGCACACCGTCGAGAGTGCACCCACCATGGATGAGCGGAAGACATCTTTTTTGCGCAGGCTTTTCAACAACTTGCTCTGTTGTACCAGAGAGCAAAGGAGGGATGTCATATTATACCCTCCAGTGCCTGCTCCGGCCCGACCTTCATTCCGTGCTGATGAGAGGATCGTGCCCCCACAAGAGCCCCCACGGAGGAGCAGAAGAAGGGTGAGAGAACACATTGAAGAGCTTCGTCCGTCTCAGCAAACTCAACTTCCTCAACCATGGCCACATTGTGAGTGGGCTACTAGTACTGAGGGAACCGGAGGGTCGTCAAGCTATGCCCCGACTCAGGAGCATGACATGTTCACCCAAGCCACCCCTCAGTTCCACCATCAGCAACAAACTACTCAGTATCAGACCCCGCAACAACAACATACATCATCGACTTTCTACCACGCTTCTGGTCCACCTCAGCAACCTCCACCCCCACCACCTGTCTACACTCCGGTGGGTGGTCGGGTTAAGAGGAATCCGCGCGTAGTTGTCCAGCGGGCTCGTGAAGAAGGAGGAGGAGGTAGAGATGGCGGAAGAAGGGGCCGAGGAGGTCGTGGAGGAAGAGGAAGAGGAAGAGAAGGGGAAGTGGAGGGAAATGAAGACAACCAGTGAACTATCTATGTCGTTCTAATTTAGTTTCATCTTTTTTTGTTTTCCATGAACTATCCATGTCGTCTAAATTTGGTTTGGGTCTTGTGTTGTTTTCCATGAACTATCTATGTTTCTAAATTTGGTTTCGGATTGTGTTGTTTTCCATTAACTATCTATGTCGGCTAAATTTGGTTGGTTTTTACCCCCATGTTGTACCAAAATGAACAACAAACGCCCTTTATTACAATCACTCAACAAGATTAAAACAAGAAGTCCAAATTAAACATCACAACAACGAAAACTACTCAACAAGATTAAAACAAGGAAGTGAACAACAACAACATCAAGGTTGGTTCGGAATTGGCGCCGAATCTTGCTCTAGAGGTGGACCTGGGCAACGCCTCTTTTCATGACCCGGTTGTCTGCACTTTGAGCAACGCTTTGGACCCCGTCGGGCACGTTGTGATTGGTCCATTTCATTGTGAATCCTTTCGGTCCTAGGACGACCTTTGGTGCGCTTTAAGTGTAACGGTGGGATAATCAACTTCCCATTGTCTACAGGCCAATAAGCTTCATCCGGCAGGGGGCTAAAACTTGACGAGTAGGAGTTCCTGATCGCCTGTTCCGTGTAGTAAGGACTAACCAAACTGTAAGCGCTGAGGGTTATCGACTTAGCTACTGCCATTGCATGTGAACAAGGTACTCTTCTGTTTTGATACTTTTGGCATGTACACTCTCCGGTGCGAGTTTCTACGTGTAGAGTAACGGATTGACGATTATGCCCACGTCTTCCTCCACCCCAGATACCTGTTTGCACAGCAAAAATACCTTCATTGCGGTTGAACAGAACAACTCTGTGCTTACTTGATTTCTCTTCGATCTTCTGCATGCCATCAAATATATGCTTAGCTATTGAATGACCAGCACGCTCCCTCCCTATAGCAGCATCCCGTCTCTTCACAAACCACTCGTTTACCTTCCAATATGTCATCTCCACTAGGACAGATACAGGCATTGCCCTAATGCCCTTGTAGACTCCATTTATGCTCTCCCCATGGTTGGTAGTTGCAATTCCGAATCTAGCCCCGTTGTCCATGTGAAATGTCCACATGTGCAGATCTTGACCTTCTGCCCATACTGCTCCCGCCCGGTGTATTTGACGGATCGTCTTCATCTTCTGCTCGTACTTTTTTGGTTGATGTGCAACCGCTACAAGACCGGAGAATTAATAATTAATCCATAAGAAATGTCATGAACAATAAACCATGAACAAGCACTGAATTACATTATGTCTTGCCAAATTTGTGTTGGAAATTTGCTAGGAAGTGAAGAATACACCAACGCCATGTCCATCCCCATTCGTCCAGGAAACCACGGACGGCTTGTTTAATCCCGGCATGTCGATCCGATATAATTGTAATACCCATTCTTTGTGTGACGTGGGCGTGTAGCTGGTCAAAGAACCATGCCCAACTTAGGTTGTTCTCCCCTTCAACTAATGCAAATGCTAAGGGAGAAATACTTAAATTTCCATCAACCCCAGTGGCAATAAGAAGAGTTCCTTTATACTTCCCAGTAAGGAAAGTTCCATCAACCTGTTACAATGAATAATGAGTTAGTAAAAATTGAAATTAGTAAAGTAATGAAATAGTACAATATTTTGAGTCCGTAATATACCTGAATCACTGGCATGCAGAAGGGAAACCCGTCAATGCATGGCTTGAATGTCCAGAACAGACGATGAAACATCAATTGGTTCTGTACTCGAACTTGATCTTCAGTTTCTACGTTGTTGTACCAAGGCACGAAAACCGTCCCAGGGTTGGACTCCTCCATTGCGGACATTAGTCTGGGGAGTAAAGCATACGAGTCATCCCAATCACCGTAGACATCAGCCATGGCCTTCTGCTTCCCATGCCACGCCTTCTTATACCTTATGGTGTAGGAGTGTCGATCCTTCACCTCCGCCATGATAGCTTTTATCTTGATATCTGGTTGTGCCTCGATAAGGTGCTTAATGGTTCTTGCCACTTTTTTTGCTTTCAGTTGCCGGTGATCCTGTGAAAGTATGGTTGAGGAGCAACTGTGGTTGTTCTCTACTGTCCGCATGACCCAGACCCCCTTTCTCTTCATATATGCAGCACGAAGTTGCCACATACAACCCTCTCCAGCATTCTTACAAATGACATGCAGTTGTCCCTTGTCAGAATATTTTACCTTCCATTCGAAATTATGCCGCATGGCTTCTTCGCTAAAAGCGTCTTGCACATCGGCTTTCGAAGTGAACGCCATACCCACTTCCAAATTAGCAGTCGGATTATACACAGGCATGGGCCGAAAGTCAGGGGCATCGTTCTGACCATATAAAAATTGATCAGGAACCTCTGTGTAGTAAGGCGTTGGTGCCTGTCGGAACGCCACCTCACTGTCATCGATATCGTCGTTATCGTCCGTATCTTCCTCCTCACTGACTGATCTCAAATCTTCCTCACTTTCATCGTCACTGGAGGCGAATGGATAGCTCGGCGAAGGATGGTCATCGTTACCAGCATAACTAGCATCGCCTTCTTGGTCATGCGAAGTACGCCCAGATCGAAGGGTGTTTTCAATGTCACCCCACTCTGGACCCCAAGCAGGCCATTGATCACCGTCGGGCTGAACGATATCGACGGCAGTCTCACCACCATGTGGCAGGTATTCTTCCCACCCAACACCTCCTTCAGAACTACCTCCTCCGTAGTTGCTTGAAGTACCTCCCCAACCATACCCTCCGGCAGAAGAACCTGCTCCGTAGTTACTTGAACTACCACCCCAGCCATACCCTCCTGCAAAACCATCATCATAAGAATACTGGTGAGAATGAGTTTCACCGACCGACTCGGTCTCGACATACACCTCTGCAAGCCGCACCCCGTTCTCAGATATGAACTGTATCATCATGTTCGCGTCGTCATCATTATTTATGTCAACTTTTTCGTACATGACTCCGTCAGCACTCATGTTGGGATACCGGTAAGTAATTTGACGAACTCTCATTTGCCCGCCCGTACAAGTCCTTTCTGCACACCTGTCATGGAGTTCTTGCCACGAGAATCTCGACTCAATTGTAAGCATACTGGATTCGCCATCTTCATAGTCGATCCCAATGTTCGAGTTTGTCACCCGACCATTGCAATAAATAATTAGCCGAAACTTCTTAAATTTACCCATATCTGCAATTTATAATAATTAAGTATAGTATATAATTAGTACATTATGGATACAAAAACAATATCATCCAAAGCGATAATAAAATGCAACTAATTGATCTATTATGAGAAAACTAAACAAATTCATCTAAATTCATAACTAACTAACTAACATCTATCATATCATAATTAAACTAAATAATATCATAACATATTTTCCAATAACCGCAATTCACTAAATACAGACATATAATTACTAACACATCAACATGTAAAAAATACATACTTATAACATACTCAATCCCGATCTATCATGAGAAAACTAAACAAATTAATCTAAATTCAGTACTAACTAACATATATCATATCATAATTAATCTAAATATATAATTCTAACATACCTAATTCTAACACATAATCAAAATGTAAACAATACATAATTCTAACATACCGAATCCCGACGAGTTTCTTGAGCAGTAAACTACGGAGGAACCAGCTGCGAAAACGACTTAACAAAACGATAATTTTTGTACTAATTTGCTGTTTGGCAGCAGGAGGGAAGTGGGCGTGGGTTTTTATAGGAAAAATTGAGAGCTAATCACCGCTTTGGACCACGGCGGTGAACACATCATCGCCTTAGTCAACAGCGGTGATAGCTAGGTAGCTGTTACCTACTTCTCCACCTACCAGGGCTATGTAAAACGTGGTGGCAATCACTGTTGTCGACAGCAGTGGGGATGCCTTCACTGTTGATGTCAAAAGCGGGGATACGTTCCCCGCCTTTGTCAAAAGCGGGGATACGATCTCCGCCTTCGTCCAAAGCAGTGATATGTTCCCCGCTTTTGTCCAAGGCGGTGATGCATTCCCCGCTTTCGTCCAAGGCGGTGATGCGTTCCCCGCTGCTTCACTGTTTTGGACGAAAGCGGTGATTAACATCACTGTCTTAGACAAAGACAGTGATGTTGAAACTGCTGTACTTTGGAAATTACTTTTATAAGTACTGTATTTAGAGAATTTTTTTTAATAACTCGAGTATTCTGGAATTTTTTCCTCTTTTCCCACGGCCCATTCCTCCACCACGCGCATACTTCACTTCACTCCGTTAACTCCCAGCTCCTTTTCCTTTACCCCGAAAACCAGCGACCGAACTGTACATTGTACATGGTAGATCCCGTCTGATCCACGCCACGTCAGCTCCCTGCGGCAGAACACCCCACGTGGCAGCATCATACGGTGGCGGTAAGCCTCTACAGCAACCAGTTTTGGAGGGAAACCTGAGCGGAAGGGGTTAAAAATAATTTATTAAAAAAGAAGAAAATACACAGAAATTACAAAGGAAAAATATGATTCCAATTTCCAGCAGAGAGGCTCTGGGTCTGGGGCAGGCAGGCTCTCTCTCCCCTTTCGTTTGTCCAACTTTTCTCTCCTTTTTCTCTTCAGTGCTCTGTAATTAATTGATTGCGAGGACCATTTATAAAGAAAACAGAAAACCGGCAATCTCTTCTCCTTCTTCGCCCGGCGCTCTTCTCCTCTTCTTCCTCCTCCTCCGCCACCGCCGATCTTTCTGCCGGGAAATTGCGGCATCCAAAGCGGGTCATGCATGGCGCGCTGCGCCACTCTCGCTTGACGGACTCCCTGGCGGCGTAGTGCAGAAGGATAAACTATATTTTTTTGTCTTCGTCGTTTCTTAGGGATCAGATCTAATAGTTGTCGCCTCGGTTTGCTCAGATTTGTTTCGTTGTGCTGAATTGGGTGATGGTTTTGAGGAGAATTTAGGGTAATTCTTTTTGTAGGGTTTTTCGGGTTGGAGCATTCTTCGCTGGGGGGCGGGAATGGAGAAGGGGAGGAGATCTGGCGAGCCGTCGGGGTACGTGGTCAAGAGCAAGGGGCCTTCTGGGTGTTTGATTGTGAGGAAGAAAGGGAGTGATGGCGTGGGAGCGGCGGCCTCTTCTGGGTCGCGGAAGCCTTTTGAATCGAAGAAGAAGGAGAAGAAGAAGAGGCCGAGGTTGGATTTCAGCGATGCCGGGTCTAGTGACGAGCTGTTAATGCGTTCACGGGCAAGGTTAGCGCCTGGAACTTCTCGGATTCGTAATGGCGTGAGTGATTTTGATGCGGGTGTTGAAGAGGAGAGTGGGATTGCTAGGAAGAGGAGCAGGGGAGAGGGTGGTAGGCGTAGTGAGATGGATGGCATTGTTAGGGATAGGGATAATTTGATTGACCGGGCGAGGACCAGGTTAGATGTGTTTGATTTTGATGAGGATGAAGGTAGTGAGGCGGGATCGATGAGAAGGAAGCGCCCTGAAGAAGGTGGAGCTGATAGTCGGAGGTTTTATGGCTCAATGACTGTGGGTAGAGGTAGCATTGAAAGAGAATACAATTCTGGTTCAAGTAGAGATGCTCTTCCTGGGAATAGGCAGGCTTCATATTTCGAGAGGGCCAGTGGTTTGACTCGTGGTGATCGTTCTGCCAGGGACGGGGTTCGACTGCCGGCTCCAGCTCCGAGGGATGACTTTGAATCAGATCAACCAATTCGGGTTCAAGGTAAAAATGGTGTTCTAAAGGTTATGGTAAACAAGAAAAAAAAGGTTGGTGGGTCTCTCAATGGTTACAATGCCATGGAGCCTGAGGAAGTAAGAAAGGGTGTGAGGACAAATGAATTTTCCAAGAAGAACATTCTTAAGCGCCCAACTCCATTCATTGGCAGAGAGAAGAAACCGATGAATCTTCTGAATTCGATGAAAAGTGAAGATGATAATGCGAGTGACCAGGATTCTGGTGATAGTGGTATTTTGTTGACAAAGAAAGCAAATATGAGAGCCAAGTATGCAGAACCTAGCAATTCTCAGAAGGTGATGATCTCTGCAAGGAAAATTGTGAGCACTGGTATTAATTCTGATGACAGTGATACTTCCTTGAAGCCGAGACCAAAGAACGGCCGGGGTCTTAGATCAAGAACGGGGACAAGTTATGGAGATGAGAAGACTACGCCTAGTAACCTTCTTCCAAGCAAAATTAATGAAGGCAAACTTAAGCGTGGTTCTGGCACTGAAAAACAAAAGCTGCGTGAAAGAATTAGGGGGATGCTTATAGATGCTGGCTGGACAATAGATTACAGGCCTAGGAGGAACAGGGACTATTTGGATGCGGTTTACATAAACCCTTCAGGAACAGCATACTGGTCCATCATCAAGGCATATGACGCTCTTCTAAAGCAGTTGAATGAAGATGAAGAGGTTGTAAAGGCTAAGGTGGAATGCTCTCAAATTACACCATTACCAGATGAGCTGCTCAGCCAACTTACAAGGAATACTAGGAAGAAGATGGAGAAGGAAATGAGAAAGAAACAACGAGACAGCCGCCAGAGTGACAATGCAAGGGAAGCAGTAGGGCGAAAGGCATCAAGCAGCCGGTATGATGAGGAGAGTATGGACAGCCAGAGTCAGGATGAGAAATTGAGCTCATTCATAACCTCCAAGGGCCACCGTTCGATGCATACTTTGCACGACAACGACGAAAAATTGTCCTCTGGATACAATAGTCACCATGGTAGTAAAAGCAGAAAACTAGGCAGATGCACCCTATTAATACGAAGATCAAACCAGGGTTTGAACTCAGATGGTAATGGTTTTGTACCTTATAGTGGAAAAAGAACACTGCTCTCTTGGCTAGTTGACTCTGGAGCTGTGCAGTTGAGTCAAAAGGTGAGATACATGAATAGGAGGCGAACAAAAATTTTGCTGGAGGGCTGGGTAACACGAGATGGAATCCATTGTGGCTGCTGTAGTAAAATCCTTACAGTTTCAAAATTTGAGATCCATGCAGGAAGTAAACTCCGACAACCCTTTCAAAATATATATCTGGACTCTGGGGTTTCCCTTTTGGATTGCCAGATTGATGCATGGAATAGACTAGAGGCTGCTGAGAATATTGGGTTTCACTCGGTAGATGTTGATGGTGATGATCCGAATGATGATACTTGTGCTCTTTGTGGTGATGGTGGGGATTTGATATGCTGCGATGGTTGTCCATCGACATTTCATCAGAGCTGCCTGGACATTGAGGTGAGTTTAAATAATCTACTGTGGATATATAATCTTAATTTACGTTGTATTATTCCTTTTATTAGAACAAGTAATACTAGTTTCTGTTGCTAGTTGTTATTGCTTTTTCTCCGTGTTCTCTCAATAACAGTTAATAGGCCCTTTCTTCAGTTTGGCTCTGGTTCTTGAGTCGTTGGAGGGTGTTTATGCTCCTGGTAGTGCCAGTTTGCTGGTTCTTTCACTTTCTGTTTCTCTTGCTTGGAAGAAAGTTAACTATATTGGTTGATGTGTGTGTGTGTGTGTGTGAGATAGGTAGATAGATAGATAGATTTATAGAGCGGGAATGAGTTCCTTTTTTTTACCATGCTTTTTGAAGATGACTCCTTTCTTGTTTCAGATGCTGCCTACAGGTGATTGGCATTGCCCAAACTGTACTTGCAAGTTCTGTGGTTCAGCCAGTGACAATCTTACGGATGATGATGATCCAACTGTTTCGGCACTTCTGACGTGCAGCCTATGTGCTAGAAAATGTACAATAATCTTATTATCTTGTTTCTTAAATATTTTACACAATTCCTTCCCCTTCTCTTCCAACTTTTTACCCTTTTTCAGATCATGAATCCTGCATGAATGGTATGGATGCTGCCACTATTGAGGGTGATAGTTCTAAATCTTGCTTCTGTAGCAAAAAGTGCGGAGAGGTACTTGTTTCCCCGTGTTTCTGTAACATATTGACGTTGTTAAGATTTTATGCTCTTGTTTGTGTTAAGGACCGGGCTTTGTTTGATTCTTGATAGTTCTTGGTAGAGGACATTTAACGCATGAGGATGTTTGTGCTACTGCTATCAGAAGCAATATGCTTCCAATTGTTCTCTTTATTATTTTTTTTCGTTTGGAAACTGAATTGTCGAGGAGTTTCCTTGAAAGCATATTTAGCTTAGGCTTTCTAGATTATTTGAAACTCACATGCCATTTGTAGATTAGCGGGATTCAGATTAATGGTCTTCATCTTTTGCTTATGTAGCTTCTGCAAGTTTAGCTTTTATGAAGTCTGGAACCACAAGAATAAATAGATTTCTGTTATTGGTTCTTATCGAGTTGGGGATGTCAGCAGAATTTTGTATGTGGTGATCCTTATTTTGGAGTATTGAGCTTCTTGTGTGTTCCACTTTCAAAATCTGGCATGTAATGGATCGGCGTATTTTCAGTTGTTTTCCGCGTGCTTCTTTCTTATCTAGATATGTTCTATTTACTCCCTACTTGTGTTGCTTTCAGCTCTTTGAGCAATTGGGGAAGTATCTTGGCGTCAAACAGGAGGTGGAATCAGGATTTTCATGGTCTCTTATTCGGAGAACAGACTTTGACCTGGATACATCTCTTCATGGACTTCCTCATAGGGTGGAGGGGAATTCAAAGCTAGCTGTGGCTTTGTCTGTAATGGATGAATGCTTTTTGCCAATAATTGATAGGAGGAGCGGGATCAACTTGATCCATGGTGTTCTTTATAATTGTGGGTAAGCATTTTGTTCTTATCGGTGGGGAATACTGCCTCCCTTCTCATTTTCACTGTGAAGTTTGTTACTGCATGTGTCAAGACTTGGCCTTTTCTGTCGACATAGATGGTTTTTGAGGCGTATTCATTCATTGATAATGCTTACACTCAAACTTAAGAGTACATATCAGTTTGTCATTAGGGAATTTGTTTTCTAACAGCTGGTCTAATAGTCTATGACTTATCTGAAGGAACCCATTCTTTATTAATCCATCTTCCCTTTTTCTCCAGTCTGTTAGAAATTGTTGTACCTACATTAAGTTTGTTCCTTTCTTTTTGGATGGAACATCAGTACTGTCAATCCGAATTACGCCTCTTCCCTATTATTGTAGGTCAAACTTCAATCGACTCAACTACAGTGGGTTCTTTACCTTGATTTTGGAGAGGGGTGATGAAATAATTTCTGCTGCATCCATAAGGTATGAGACTGATTTATATATGCCACGTGGACTTCATTGCATTTATGTTTTTAAGTATAAACTAGTGAGGAACATAATAGCAGTAAAAAGCTCTGAAGACATGTTTTCGTTAGTCAAAGCTTCTTCAATCCCGATCCTCGGAAATTAATCTCTGGTAAAATGGAAGTGAGATATGCAAAGTTGAAGCTTAATGTTACAGATGAATCGCTTTGTGAATTCATGCTAAGTTAGTTCAGCTTAGGTTGCATTACTACATGTCTACATTCATTGGCGATGCTAGTTTTACTCTTAGGTCCATGCATGAGGGATCTGGTTTGGATTGTAGGTCCACTTTCTGCTGGCATATGCTTTGTTTGGGTATTGAGTTTTGAGAAGGCGACTGGTCTGACCAATTAGTTTAACCTTTTCTTTATTAGATTACATGGGACAGAGTTGGCAGAAATGCCCTTCATTGGAACTCGCCACATATACAGACGTCAGGGAATGTGCAGACGTCTTTTTAGTGCTGTTGAATCGGTAAAAGTTCTCTTTAAACCTCTCGAGACTCGAATGCCCTTTTTGTTACCATATATAATTTCTTTTTCCAATTCAGTCAACGCTCCTCTCACTTTTATCATTGGTTTTTATATTTCGCCAGGTACTCCGCTCATTGAAGGTTGAGAAGCTAATTATTCCTGCCATTTCTGAGCTAATGCACACATGGACGGAGGTGTTTGGGTTCACTAGCCTTGATGAATCCCTTAAGCAAGAACTGAAGTCTATGAATACGATGGTGTTCCCTGGTGTGGATATGCTTCAGAAGCACTTACTTCAGCAGGAAAATGGGGAGAAAATGAACACTAATAAAGGTTTTCCCCATTTAGTATTTTGTTGATTGATTTTTCCCCCCAGACTTGATCCCATATGTTACTGAACTCCTTATTTTTCTTCATAGGTGTGAAAGAGAAGGGACCCCAAGGTGATAAATTTATGGACAATGCTTCAGCTGATAGTGGTTCAGCTGGAGATTATCTTCGAGAAAGCGACAGTGGTGGTCTTGAACATAATAACATTGAAGCGAAAGTTGGAGAATCGGCTAGGGCAAAATCTGGCACATCAAGTCCAGTTGCTTCTGCAAACTCTTCAAAGATTTCCTTGGATGCATCCCACGAGATTAAGCAAAGCGTCAGCTCAGATTCAGGGCTAGTGGACAAGAAGTTGGATAAATCCAGAATATCCAACGTGAAGTCAGCTTCTCTGGAGAATGATGATATCTCTTCTCATGCTATTCCTGAAAACCAGTTTCTTCTTCCCATTTCCTCGAACAATGTTTCTGAAATGAGCAGTTCGCCAGATGCTTCTCGTGAACATAAACCAGTAAATGGTGAGGCAGTAGATGAATCAGCGTCTGTTGCTAACCATTTGAGGATGCCTACTGTTATGAGCAGTCGGAGAGAAGTCAAAGAGGCGGCACATGATTTGGGGGATAATGGAACTGACGAGGCCCAAGCATTCAATAGATTAAGCGAGTCTAATTCCGAGGAGGAATATAAAGGTTCGTTCTCTACTGAACAAACTACATTGCTGGGTGGTCTCCCGAGAGACTCTGAGCCGACCAATATCGATGCTCCCGGGGAGGAATACCAATTGGGATCAGGCCTTGAAGCAGCAAACCATGCAGCAGCAACTTATGAGCATGGTTCCGACACTGATGCGAGTGAAGTCAAAACAGAATCTGAGTAGCTGCTGCACTCCTTATTCACTTGCACTACTCTGACGATGAGGGTAAGCATTTTGGGGGCACCTAGTTTGGCGCGTGATCTCAACGAGTTCGGTGCGTTGTTCTCTGTACACAGGGGCTGCTGGGATGCCCGCAGGGATGCTCGGCGATATTGTTATATGCCTTTTCCAAGTTTCGGTCCTTCCGGGAAGAGTGTGAGTGATCTATACCACTGCGTGCAGTGAAGGGAGTGAGGCTGAGGCTGCCAGCCGCTGTTGTATGCTGAATGGGATGATGGGATGGCCGGAGTAAGAGCTATCTCGTGCGCAGTCACCCTTAGAACGTGTATATAAGTTTGGTATTGCCGATGATTGCGCGGCTGCGGGGTTCCAGATTTTGGAACTTTGATTCCCACCACCCTGTAACAAAAAGAAGAGGAACGAATTCGATTCTTACGTAGCAGACGCTCCCTCCCCTGTTTTTTTTTGTTATCCTATCTCGGGAAAAGACTACTGGTTCCTCGATACAAATTTTTCCATGTGTGCAAGTAAGAAACTGGGATGGAAAATGTTCCTCCATTCCACGCTTTCCATTTCAATTCAGTGCTTATTTATAGAATTGAATCCATTTTATATGTACATTCTCACAAAAACTCCTCAGCGGTCTTCAAATCATCCAGTATCGCAGACTTCACAGATTCCGGTAGGGCTGCGGACGGCCCTGCTTTTGAGTAGAAGCTCGCCAGTGCTCTTATCGCCTTCTCTATCTCCACGTACGATTCCTGCAGGTTAGAATGATTGATTAATGGAAGGTTTTGCCAGATATAGCACTATCAATCTTCTGTGAATAAGTGAACAATCTTGGAACTTTTACCTCGCCGGCGATCTTCTCTTGGCCCCTCCAATTGCCCAAATACTCTCTAATGGATTCCTTGGCTGCGTCGGCGTTCCGCCTGAACTTGGCATTGTCCTTGGGATCCTCCTGCAGCGACTCTCGCAGCGTCTTCACCACCTCTCTCGCGGACTTCAGGTAAGCTTTCGGAAGCAGTTTCCCGGATTTCGTCTTCTCGTTTGGATCCAGAAGCGACTTGATTGCGCCGACCACGCCCTCCTCCTCTTCGTCTTTTGCCGGTTGTCCTCCTTCGGCTCTGGCAGGCAATGGCGTCGGCATCCAGCTGGGAGACATTATGGATAGTGTCGAAATAGCACCAGCGAGCAAGACTCGCCGACGAGTCTCGGCGGCAACTTGATTCCGTTGCAGCTGCTTATCTGTGAAAGCGACGATGAAATCATCATCTGGAAATTCGATTCAGAATCAGAAGCAGGGAGTGGTGCTCTCTATACTTACAGGAACAATCAGTTGGTGCTTTGACAGAGACGGAAAGGCATGGAATCACTGCAAAACTCGCGGCGGTCGGCGCCATTGTTCTGCCGTCGATTTCAGTTCGGCAACTTGCTCCAATCGCGCACTTCAGGTCGGATATCTCAGCTTACGTCATTTTCTTTTTCTTAAACTACTGCTTCTTCGGTTCTTCTCACTCTACCTTTCGGCTTTCACTTCTCAGTGCTCATTCTCCGCCGCCGGATGAAGCTTCGAATCTATCCGAATGGAAATGGACACAGCTGTTATTTTGAGGATTCGTGAAGGTTAAGTTAGTCATTTGGATCAAGCCTCCGACGTCGTTCTGGTATCTTTCTCTCTCTATCCCTCTTATATCCCCGCCGGCAGACGTCAGTCTCCGGTTCTATGACTCGCCTTTCCGTTGAAAATAGGAGACGAGATCTCTCTATCTCGCTCCTCTTTCCTCTGTTGCTAGAATTCAGACGCCGGTGAATTTCGGTTCCAGCAATCGGCGGCAGTCCCCGGCGCTGCAGGAATCCTCTGCTGTTTCCCGGATATGACTAACAACTCCCAGCAAAATTCTTCATCCTTGAAGCCTTCCTCCTCCGCTTCCGCATCGCAGAGGAAATCTCGATGGGAGTCCTCTTCCTCCGCCGCTGCTAACGCCAACAATCCACTGTCGGGATCGAAATCCAACCAGCCAAAACCTGCTAAACCTCATCCCAATTCAAAACCTTCGCCGAAGCTGAAGACAGGGCCATCTCCCAAGCCTGCCGCTCCTCTTGCTCGGCCACCAGGTGCAGCCTTCCCTTTCCCCGACTTTGGCCCTCCTCCTACTCCCACCTATGGCTTCCACATGCTGGAAAGAAGGACCATTGTCCTTGCAGACGGCAGCGTTCGCTCCTACTTTGCTCTTCCTCCAGATTACCAGAACCTCCCTCCGCACGGTTTTATTCCCCCTCGTCCGCTCCCACCCGGTGGAGATCTCAGATTCCCGCCCATGAGTCCTGAAGGTTTAGGGTTCCGTGATGGAAACCACAGTGCCGCTTTGAAGAGGAAGCACGCTGGAGGGGACGACGAGTTCAAGTTCAGCAATAACCCTAACGGGTTTCATTCCGCTGGGGCCGGGCCAAGCAGTCCGTTTATGAGGGGTGATGAACTGAGGCCAGGGAAGTTTATGAGGATTGGTGGCGACAGCGTGGGAATGATCCATAAGCACCTTGAAGTGGACCAGAACAAGCTAAAGAAGGCTTTTCTACACTTTGCTAAGGTGATCAATGACAGTGAAGCAGAGAGAAGGCGTTATTTAGAGAACGGCAAGCATGGACGGATTCCTTGTGTCGCTTGCAACAGGTTTGTTTCAGTTCCCCTGTCTTTTACTCTCGCTATTGATTCGACTCTACTTTGTGCATCTGTTTCCTATACAAGTTTTTCTTCTCGTAGTGTAAGGTAGTATGTTGTTTAGAACATGGGGTACTTGGAGTTTGGACTCTGATTGGTAGGTTTGCAGTTGTTATTTATATATTCGATCTTCGGGTGGATAATTTTCTTTAATTAGCTTACTACATTGTTTGACGTAACCAGTGAGGGTTATCTGCTTTAATTTCTCTCGATAGTTCATGTTGTTACTTTGACGTCTGTGCATTTCCGGGTGAAAGAGGGAAACCCTTGCTTTGGTAGTAGTTCGAGCATTGTTTTTGTCCTACTCATTCTTCTTCTGGTGCACTTTCGAGGAAGAATGGTATATATTTCGTATGGTATAGCCTCATTCCTTCTGCATTAAGGAACTTGAGTTTATGAGTTTGTAGTATATATGCTAGTGACTCTGGTTTCTTTATACTTTCCTTGCTACCTTCCTGCTCTCGTATTACTGCATGGAAATCCTTCCACATAACAACCCCCACATTTTATTTAGAGAAATGAGCAACAAAGAATGTTCTGTGGAATAAATAAACAAACAGTTGAAACTACTGTCCAAATCAGGCCCCTGCTTTATAAATAAGAAGTGCTCCCTTTCTCAGTCAGACTACTTAGTAGTTGTCAAACTATGTCAGTAGCAGCTTCTTGTGTAAATTGTTTTGTCCAAGTTTCTCTATGCAGGAAGTAACAGGAAAGTAATTCCATACCCAGAATAGGATTGGATGAATCGTCCTTTTCTTTATAATGGCGATGAGTCCTCCCTTTTAAGAGCCCCATCACTGACTCCTAATTTCCCCCCATTGTCTACTCTATGTGTGTTGAGGTTGCTGTAATTTTATTTGTTTTCTTCTTTTTCTTTATCCGAAGCTTTAATTATGTGAGTTCAAGTGTATTATTTACTGATGAGTACCATAGAATTAAGCTTCTCTTGTAAAGATTCCACCTCCTGTGTAGGGTGGTTTGCAGCTACAGATTTCAGGATGAAAGAAGAGTTTCATTGAAATTTGGTTTGACTCAGATTATTCCTGAGTGGATTCTCAGGTGAAGTCCTGCTCCTTGGTGGAGAGGCAACCCTTTTTACCCTATTTTCCATTGTTTCTTAAAATTCCAGCAACTATATCAGAACAGAAACCTTCCTTTCCTGCTCGCTTTACACAGTATAAACTCTAGGCACATAATCAGACTCTGTCCCAAGCACTTGACTTCATCAAACTTTTTGAGACTCTGAGTGAGAGAGTAGGGGTGTCTGTTTAGTTACTGGGAACATGTTCATTTGTTTTGTTTGCATTGTCTTTTGGCTGTCCTGAAAGCTACTTCTTTTTCCTCATGTTTTGTTTATGTGAACTATTACTCGTGAGCTGGGTATGTCCCTCTGGTTGGTTGATTGTGGGCATTGGGCAAGTCCGACTTATGATAGGATTGCTGACTGGACAATGAATGCCTGTTTGAAGCACGGGGTATTTAGACTATGACCAGTGGGTTCCAATTGTTATTTATGTCATTTATATTATCTAACTACGTTGCTTGTGGGCATCAGGGTTCGGGAAGGAATATCTGCTTTAAGTTACTCCGTTACTTCGTGCTACCACTATGTTAGTTTCGCATGTACCGCGAGGGGCAAGAGGAAACCTCTTGCTTCCCTTAATTAATGATTCAATATATTTGGTTTTGGTCCTTTGCGCTCCTCTCTAGCTGCACCTTTAAGAAAGGAACTATTATATATTTTATATGCTATAGCTTCATTCTTTCTATTTTGAAGCTTGAGATTGTGATCATGTAGTTTTTATGTGAGTGGCTGTGGGCTGTGGCTTTAATACTTTCCTAGCTACCTTCCCCAGAGACACATAGCTGCTAACTACTAACCAGTATGCCGGGACTCATTCCCGACTGCTGCTTGGACTTCTGCATGGCATTCCTGTACATTGTGTTATTTACCTGAAGGAAAGCAATCAAACTACAGTCTTAACGATTGTTGGAATTGTGCTTTAATCAAAGAACTGCGAGTCCGTTCACATTGAGACTACTTCATTGCCAGAAATCACATCAACAGCAATTGGTTGTATAAATTGCTTTGCCATTTTTTGACTGAGGTGCTAGCACTGAGAGCAATGCTATATCAGAATAGTAGTGGATCAATCCTCCCTCTTAATCTCCCCATCAAGAACCCTAATTCCCATTTGTTGACTCTGATGTCCACGTAGGTTGCTGTAGTTTTCTTCTTTCTCTTTATTGAAGGTTTTTATTATGTAAGCTATAGTCTTTAATCTTTATTACTTACTCATGATTGTCCTAAAGGTTGTTTTCCTTTAGTAAATGTTCCGGCCTCATTAAGGTGCTAAGGATAACAGGATGATAGATCTTAGTTCTATTGAATCTTTGATTAGATTTTCAGAGCCTTCTTGAATGGATTCACGTATGAAGTCCTGCTCCTTGGTTAGAGAGGAAACCCTTTAGACCCCTAAATTTCATTGCTCTCTAAATTCCAGCAACTATGTCAAACATAAACCTTCCTTTCCGACTTCCTTTTCATGCTACAAATATCGGGCATATCAGGCGCTGTCCTCAAGCACCTGCTTCATCACACTTTAGACTAATGGATAATGGGTTAAGATTAGACGAGGATGCTTCCAACTTAGCTGCTAAATTACTGGGACTATTACTAGGCCTTCTTAAAATTTTAATCGCCTTTTAGTGTCCTGGATACTTTTTTTTTAATATATGGATAAGTTAAATTCTGGTTTGTTTCTCTGCCAACTTTACTTATGAGCCTGGGGTGGCTGGGTTATGTGCTTCAGGTTGGCTATCAATGAACAAGTCCACATATGATTTTAGTGCTGACTTGACAATGGAGTTCAGTGTTTTGTCTTGGTTTGCTCTTATTTAACAGACAAATGGCTTCATGGCCATGTGAAGCAATTCCATTACTAGGCATCAATTATCTATTTTCTGTTAATCCTTTCCTACTTGTCTGCTTGCTCTGAGTGTTCTTGTTTTTGAATGTTCAGTTGCACAATCAATGACTTGCATTGTGCATGTGTTCATAGCACATAGGCCTTTGTGGAAACTAAATTGCAGGCTGTATCGCTTTATTCTTTTTACTATTTCCTTTCGGTTATTGTTGGTTTAGATCATTAGTTCATCAATTAATGTCTTGCAGCAGGCATGTGCATATTGTATAGGTGCTTCACACTTTTTCATCTGTTGCCTTAATGTGATAATGGATAACTTGGAGGCTATAGTTCTGGTTTGATACTTTGGACAAAACGTTCAAGATTTAACCGCTGCACTTGTTGTTAGTTTTTGTGGTTTGATGTCTTTCTTGGCTACAAATTTAGCCTGTCCGGTGGCCTATTACATTATTGAAGATTATCATGGTATTCGTTTCTGTTTGTTTGTAGAGAACGATTCACCTGTGTACAGATAACCAACCATGCACTTCGTCTTTTGAAATAGATGGCTGATCTTCCTGCACAACTTTTGTCTCAGTCTTTGTACTGGAATATCAATTCACCTTTTTATATGATATACTACAAAGTTACCAGTGAATTCGGTTTTTTACTCTTTTTGTTTCTCGAGGAGTGGAATTGTGAACGCATGCTGATTTGACTCTGATTTCCTTCTCCAACTGTATCTCAACACAATTCAAACGGTTGATACATGACGTGTAATGGAATACAACAACAAGTTAGCTGTATCCACTCTACTTCTTTGTCTGTTTAGTGTTTTGTGATAGAACTGACTGGACAGGCTGCGGCCAATTCTGTTTGGTATATAGATTTACAGCAAACACGTGGGATCATCGCCTGAATTTGTTATTGTTCGATGCCCTTCATGTTGCAAAATACAGGTCGAAAGATTTTCCAGATGTGCATGCTCTTATATTGCATACATACAACTCAGAAAAGGCTGAATCTCATGTGGATCACTTGGGATTACACAAAGCCGTGTGTGTTTTAATGGGATGGAACTTCACGAAGATCCCTGATAGCTCAAGGGCATACCAGTTCCTACCTGTCCATGAATCAGCAGCAAACCAGAACGATTTGATTTTGTGGCCACCTTTGGTGATTATTCATAACACAGTTACAGGAAAGGGTAAAGATGGACGCTTGGAAGGTTTGGGAAACAAAGCCATGGATAGCAAAATAAGAGGTATAGTGCAACCCTTCATTCAATTGTTCTTGTTTGTTTTGGAACAATGTGTCATATCAGATCCATGGATTCCTTGGTTCTGAATGGAGGATGGGTTGCATTTGCATAGCAGCTTGCTCTGACAACTTCTGCCCTTGTGGTATCCTGCACTGTTTTCCCCTTTGGGGGTGGGTAGTAAACCAGCATTATTGTCATTGGAAAGTCTTATAGAAAAACTTTATGTTCTTATCGGGTACCGCCCTTCAAACAGTATATTTACGCTCCTAAACGGCTAAACCTAAAGGGGATTAGTGGAATCCAAGAAGGGTTTCTATCTTTGACAAATATCTGTAGAAGAACTTGCTTTAGACTTTAGCAGTTCTGAAGGCGGCTACTAAAAATACAGTTAAAAATCAGTCAGTGTTTGTGAAAAGGCACCACTGAAGGGAAGTGTTCTAAGAAGATACTGTTCTATAGTTATGAGTTGCTAGCAATTCTATAGATATGCTGGAAGAGTTGTTGGTTTTGGAGTCCTTTCGCCTCCTTTTCTTTCTTTTGTTTAGTTTCTTTAGTTACGAGTTGCTTCCAATTCTATAGATATGATTCTGCAGCCTAGTTCTGGTTTTCTAAGTAAACCTTACTGTTAAAGAGTTGAGTTGCGCCAACTTCCATTCTTCAGAAAGTTTAGAACAACTTCCTTCTCAATCTTTCATTTCTCCCTGTTTCTCTTTTGGAGGAATAGGTTAAGAGAGGAGGGGGAGGTATAGCTGACATCCTGCTTCCAACAACCACGAATAGGTTGTTTGCATTTTGATTTTCTTTTTGGCGATGATGGGCGAGGATGTTGCTGAACAGTTCTTAGCAATTGTGCTTTGGCCATTTCTTCTGTATTATATCTCAACGGTCTTATATTTATATCGTGGACAGCTTTTCAGGAAGCAAGCAATTGAGCCAAGTGGGGATAACTCTCGTTACTGAAACTGGGCTTAGGGCATTGAACCAATGGCTGATAGCAGTCTAGCATTCTTCTTCTTCTTTCCTTTATTGTTCCTCAAGCCCTTTATTGTGTCTGTGAACTAGAATAGTAGCTGCTATATGTAGGTCCTTGATTGACCTTCATGAATAGGGGACAATGGTAGGTTGAAACTCTATTTTTCAGCAATTACAAATTCACAATCCAGATGAACTGAAGTCACTGTCATAGACAGTTACTGCTCTTAGCTGTAATATTCTCTCTTCTCCCAGTTTTACTTTGCAAGTTACACTTTCTGTTTGAAATTTATGCTCACATGAGTTTAGGATCTTAGCGACTGTTTTGGATCGTGGAGAGAATATACCACTTCAGCTGTCTAAAGCAGCTATATTAGTGAACATTTTAGGAATGTGCTGTTCTGTGCCTTTTTCCTATAACCGATCTCTTCATTGCCTGCCAGGCACTGAAGCCGAATCTAGCTGAACTTGAAAACTTATTAAGTACCTAGTTTCTTCTAAGAACGTATTATCTCTTACAGTTCTGGCACTACGTAGTAGGTCTATTAGAATTATTGTCTTTTGAGTTTTGTCGATGAACTTATTATTTCTTACAAGTTAAACTGCTGAGAAGCAGAGGATAAAATAAGGTCAGATGGATCATATCTATCCTTTGAGCAATTGAGCCAGATCCTTTAGGGAGTGGTATCAGCTATTTGGTTCTCGACATCTATCCGGGCATCCGGCTACTGAGCAAATGGAGCCGTCCGCGTTTCACATTTAGCAGATACTCCCCCTGCCTCTTTTTCATTGTAAATGCAGCTTCTAGTGTTGTCATACATGCTGGTCATAGTGCAGTGGAAATCACATTTATCTCTTTCCGCTTTCTGATTCCCCTTTCTATAACAATGTGGCTTTTCAGGTCTTGGATTTCCGGGTGGCAAGTCCAAATCACTGTATGGAAGAGACGGTCATCAAGGTATGACACTTGTTAAGTATAGCGGGGACATGTCAGGCTTGAAGGAGGCCGTGCAGCTGTCCGATCACTTTGCGATGCAGAATCATGGGCGAATCGCATGGGAACATATACAGCCGGTGGCTTTAGGCAGAGACGACGATGACAGGAATCCAAACCTCGTGAAGGTTGACCATCGCAGTGGGGACAAGCAGAGGATTCTGTATGGGTATCTTGCCACAGCTGCTGATCTTCACAGGGTGGATTTCGAGACACGGAGGAAGGTCACGATCGAGAGCCTTCGAGAGTACCAGCAAGTCAGTCATCCTCCTCGATAACACAATCAGCTAGAGGTAACAAAGAGCTGCGCTCATACTTAGACTCATTGCTTTTCGACACCAGTCTGTAACCTTGTGTTGTCCATTTGGCCCTGTAGAGATAGATGAGGGGAAAAGGCTTCGTTTCGGTCAATTACGATATTTCATCATCGTTGGCAGAATTCGAGGTGGTATTTAGGAAGGACCAGATTGCATATAGAGAGTTTCATATGTATCTATCTTCATTTGATAAGTGAGCCCCTCTAGTCTATATTTATGCGTTCAGATTTCAGAAGATGAGGGCCGCAAAACGGCTGGTGCATGGTGTCAGTCAGTATCCTCTGTCGCCGGCTCGGTTGCTCCTTACCTTGTACTTGCAGTGACGTTTGAGGTTTTCGGGGCGAAATGATACCCTAGTGGTGGCTAATACGTTAACAACATTCTGTAAGAGGTCATAAATCTAACATGGCATTACAAGAGTCAATATGTGAGAACGTTTTGATGATTGATAATAGCGTATGTGGCTAACTTGTGAAACTTGATCAAGTTTTAACTAAGAATTGTAAAATTGTATCAATTGGTGTAGTGGAAAAGTCAGCAATACGATATTTTCTGCTGAAATCGTAGTTCATCCGTTTTAAAATCGCCAAAATTCGTCCATTCCGATAAGATATTTTATCGGTTAGGCCTCCAATACAGTCAGCCTTACAACTATTGGGCGAAGGCACGTTGGATGGTGTTTGTTAATTCTGTGAGTGAATGACAGGGAGTGGTGGTATGCAGGCAGGCAGGCCCCACCTCCACCCACCCACCAACTTTGTTTCCATGTTGATGTGCATGGCTATGGATTGGGATAGGAGAATGGAGATGGAAAGATTGAGTGGCTGATAGACTACTTTCAAGGTGGAATTTAGACCGACTAGTATAGTGAAAATTGTGTAGTGGCAAGAAAATAGGGGGTAATGGCAGACAGTGAGTATAAAGAAGTCATGTGGTTTGGTTTGGTTTGCCTTGGCCTGGTTGTAGTAAAACAAATTCGTTGGTTGTTGCGCAAATCCAAACAAAGCAAATGAGCAGTAATAGTCAGCTACTTGGATTGGTGAATGGCTGTTTTTGTTGTCTTGTTGCTGCTGTCGACCATAATAAATTTGTATTTAGTATTTACCTTTTCTTCCTCCTTCCAAGTTGAAGATCAAAAACCAAACCCACCACCAACAATAAAAACCCAACTGTTGATTTGGTTGGGAATAGATAGGGAGTGCTAACGTTTAAACTTATAAAGGGCATGTTGTTGCTGCTTATGGAACGGTGGTTCGATGGAGTAATTTTCAGGAAAGACAACCCGTTTGTCAGTGATAAATTATTTAGTTAATGGAGTTGGGGGGGAAAATCAATATCACCATGAAAGGTGTAGGAGTGGGTTCAATTATTTGAGCCACCCACTAGATAGAAGGGGATGTGATGCACAGTGCAATCCCATGGGACGGCATGGCATCGTTGTAAAGAAGCATATTTGTACACACAAGTACAACAACGGTAGTTGTTGCAAAATTAATCTGCTAGTTTGGTCTTAGCACTCAGCTAAAATTAACTTAATATCAAAACTGATTAAATTTAAAGAGTGATTGTTGTTTGTAAGACCAATTTAACCGTGTTACCTCTATGAATACCTCCTCGTCGTTGAGCTCCTAAACATGACATCACTCTAAAGGGTCAGTGCGAGCATCCCAACCCATCAAGTATTGGTGTAGCATGACATCACCCTAGATGGTTATTGCACCTCCACCAAGCATTTAGATGTCAGGGGGTTAGCGTGAGTATCTCTTACTAATACCCTACACGTATGATGTCACCTAGGAATGGCAATGGGCAGGTCCGGGGCGGGTTTCTTGGTACCCAGACCTGCTCCATGGCAGGTCGGGTCCATGTCAGGTAATTGATCACGGGTCGCGGGTCGGGGCAGGTCGACCCAAAAGGTATGCAATTTATATTAAAAACATTACAAATATTCGTTATTTTTATTATAAGACTAAGAAAACAAACAATATTATGACAATTGTAGTTAAATTATTGGAGAAATTGAGGTTTTCACTAATTTACAACTTTCTTATAGCTAAAATATGATGCAATAAAAGGAAAATCCTAAATAATTTGACTAAGATTACATGTAATTTAGACAAGAACGGGTCGAGAATGGGGCGGGTCAGGGCAGGTCGGGTCGATGAGACTACCCATGCCCGCCCCAAAACAGGTCAAACAGATCGGGTAAAACAGGTCAGGTCGAAATTGCCATCCCTAATGTCACCCTTAAAGGATAGTGTCATTCATCAACCCCGGCCACCCAAGTACATAGGTGTCAAGCACGATGATGGAAATCGGGATATGGGGCGTCGATAATCGAGCTGGATATTACTATTAGGGGTTTGGGCAGATTAGGGAATATAATTAGGGATTGATAGGAGATGCCTAGAGAAGAAGAAAGGGATGGAAGGGTCCAACTACGGTTGATGGAAAAAGAGGGACGAGAGAAGAAAGTTGGTCGAGTTTTAGAGGGAGAAGTGAGAAATTCTTTTTCCGATTAAACTTACTAATCCAATCATCGTTTGCGATAATTTCATTAAACTACGTATGTTTGGGGTCGTTTGAAAGTTATGATTCTAGATTACAATATTTCACAACATTCAAATTATAACCAAATCACCATCAATCATAAATGAATATCCAAATGTGAAAAGTGATGGAGACCCAAAATTTATCGTTCCCTCCCCTTGAGAGCAACCTTAACTTTAAGGGTGAGTCGGCACCTCCTGATTTTCCTTCCCTTCCTCGGCAACCAATTTTTCGGCCTCATCCTCCCAGCTTCCCACGAACAACATCAGGTGGCCATCGGTATATTGGTTTCCCACCATGTACCTCTCGTTGCAGTTGAAGCAACGACCATCTCTATGCCTACTTAATTCTTAATGCTAGAATACCAAATAAGTTTCAGAAATCCCTCAAAATGTAGCACAATATCCAAATAACAACCAAATGCCCATAAAACATTAATGAATATCCAAATGTGAAAAGTGATGGAGGCTTAGGGGTCGTTTGGAAGTTGCAATTTTTAAATAGATGTATTATTTTGAATACATGTATAATATTATACATGTATTATTGAATTTGATGCATTGTAAAATACAACATTTGGTATGTGTGATTGTGTGTCACATTGGTTGAAAGCTGAGATTTAACAATCTTAGCTAAAAGCTAAGATACAACAACCACTCATTTTGAGTGATAGTTTCTATCACATCACAGTAACAATCCATGTATTGTGTCTGCTAAAAAAAGATTAATTATAATCAATACAAGCATAGTAACAATTTCACAAATCACAACTTCCAAACAACTCATTAGTTTTCATCACATAACTCATCCAGTAGGGGTAGGTATGTCATATGTGCACCCTCACCCCAAGGGCAAGTAGTCAAATATGATAGGCCTCGTGAGTATAATTCATGGTAATTACCCAATATGACCATAACAACTCTAAGTGTCACACATGCACACTCTCACATGGTAGCCCAACCGACTTATGTGTCAAGCATGACATCATACAATGAGATCAACTTGGATATCACTAAGTCATGCATCTAGCATCAGGGTACTGCGAAAGTGGTCACCGCGAAAGTGGTCACCTCTAGTTTGTAATGGTGACCATAGTCATCATGAAGACACCCTAAGCGTGATACCTCTCGCATACATCATTTAGCTATAAATAGGAGAAATTAAGATTGAAAAAGGTTTCACAAAACCACAATTTGACACCTCATGTCAAAAGTTATCATTTCTCTATAATTTAGACATAGTCATAACATTTAGGTTGGAGTTCTCACTGAATCTCCAATGGAATAAGAGTAACTTAGCTTGTTCTCATAAAGCCACCACAATAATAAAACACCTTCATTTGAGCTTTTCTTTAAGAGGTGTGAATTGTGTTCTCCCCGAAAAACATTTGGCAACTGAGCTTGAGTCCTAGGTGATGGTCAAACTTGATCGACTTGATTTACAGTTTAGTGTTATTTTTACAAGGTTTAAGTTTAACGATGGTTAGGGTGTTAATGATTCGAGGCGAGTCGAACTTTGCTATGGTTTGGGCTCTGCTCGTTACAATAATTTCAAATTCGAGCTATACTAGGCAAGCTCGAGCTCGGCTCATTTACAAATATAGAAGCTAGAGCTCAGCTCGTCAAATGAGTTTGACAAGCAGAAATTGAGTTCGGTTGGTAAAATATAGATTGTAACTCAAGCTCGAGTTTGAACTCAGCTTAAAATCACATTCTGTAGTCTTTCGAGCTTGTACGCGAAATTAGAGATGAACATGCCATTGCTCGAATGCGACTCATTAATTGACAAACTTGTTCATGAGCCAACTAAGTTAAAGATGAGTCAAGTGTCAAAGAATTTTTCTCGAATCGAATACCGACTCATACATTAGCAAATTAATTAATTAATTAACAACCCAGTCAATAGTGAAAGATTTTTCGTTATATACCTATCAACGCACTTTAACACTCTGTTTGGGAGAAGGGGGAAGTGGAGGGGGGTGCATATTTTGAGGGGTAATGAAGGATCCCAATGCAAATGCACCCATTTGGATCTTTAGCAATAGTAGCTTGGGGGGGGGGGGGGGGGGTGCATTAGAGGGGTAATTTTACTATTCTCCTTCACCCCCAAAATGGGGTGCAAGGGAAGAAGAAGGAAGGGGGAAGGTGGGGCAGACATGGGATGGGTGGAAAGAAGAGGAAGGTGGGACCGAGGGAGGAAAGATTAGAGAGAGATGGTGGGGTTCTTTTAAATTTGGTTTTTATTTTTCTGTTATAATAATAATAATTATATTAAAATTGATACTTTATACTTCATTTTGCACCCTCCTACTTTTTCTTCCAAACAACAATTTGCACCTCAATTTGCACCCTCCTATAATTTGCTCCCTCCTATAATTTGCACCCATATTTGCACCCTCCTCTAATTTGCACCCTCTTGTTGCCAAACAGAGTGTAAAGGGCTAAGATTTGAAAGTAGAGTAGAGTGACTCACCAACCCACTCCCTTTCCCCACTCAATCATGTTGCGTTTGACATTTTAACAGTTTTCTAGTTTACTAGTTACTGTTGCTTACAACACAGTGTGTCCGGCCGAACATCCTAGTCCTAATCCTACGCTCTGCACTAAAGCAAGCTCACCATATCTAGCAATTATCATGAATCTAGTAATAATAAAGTTATTTTCCCACCCACTAGATTGAACAATATTAGTGTCTTCATAAAGTTAGTAATGAGTTAATTGGACCAAGTCCTTTGTTACCGTGTAACTAGGGAGAAAGAAAATTTGCAAAGTGATCAAATGCATGATTTTCAGTCGAGGCTTTTTATGTACTCGGTGCAATTGCACCGGATAGTTGAGGGTTAGAAGTATTTGGAATTCATTTGTGTAAGAAAACTCTCTTATATTGTAATACTCTTTTTTATACAACTTTCAACGGAAATCCAATAAAACAAACAATAATTCGAGATTCGAATGAATTTTGTAGTTTAGGTTAGAGATTTGGAGACTAGGGTTCGCTCATTATAAGTAGGGGTGGGCAATGGGTTGGTCCACATCGGACCACATCAGACCGAATCGATGTTTGATCGTACCACACCGAATCGAATATAATGTGGTCCGGTCTTTGGTTCCATTAATTTTATAAATATTGAAGAAAAATGGACCGAATTGACATTTTGACCGGACCAAGACGGACCAAACAGATCGAATGAAATATTGGTATGGTCCTTGGTCCTAAGTTATCTTTCACTATTTGACCGCGATTCTCTGAATTTGGTCCGATTCGGTCCGGACCGAACCGATGCCCACCCCTAATTACAAGTGCACTACTCAAGTTGACCCGCCTCATTCTCGACTCTTTTTGCATAATTTCATGTACACTACGGTTGACAAATAGGGAGGAGGTGCAAATTCGACGAGGTGCGAGTTGAGGAGAAAATTGTATGAGTTTTAGATTGGCGAGGGCTATAAGTGAAAAGGGAATTTGTTGTTTGGCTAAAAAAGTAAGGAGTGCAAATATGGTAAAAATTAAGTAAATAATGTTATTATAAAATAGGTGTATTAAATTATAAAATCTTATCACAAAATAACAACATAATTTTTTATATAATATTCATAAATATTAAAATATATAATTTAATAAAAATAATTATTAAGATAGCAAACTTGAATAGTAGTTAATTATAACAAATGTATTTAATTATAACAATTATAACAAGCTCGAAGGTCGAAGCCTAACCTGTGACCAAGGTACATTGCTAGCTCATGTTTCCCACTCGGTGTTGATTTGTCAACATGGTAATCTCGATTTGGCTAGACAAATTTTGACAAACTTTCTTTCAGAGTAAAATGATGTTCCCGAATTAGGAAGGGGTGTGCAACGGTTTGTTTTGGTCCGCTCCTGACCATACCAATCTCATAAGAGCTACAACAATAGTAACCCAATTAAAAATTCATAAGCACTCCCCTCCCTCTCTCCTCCCCCTTCCCTTCTTCTTTCTTCTATTTGCACTTGAATTTAGAAGGTAAGCCAAAATAGTGAATTTGCCCATACCATGTACACCTTCTACGATCACAAAATAACTAAACATGGGTAAACTCCTCATAACTTGTATTTACTCCTCCCATTTGCCACCCCTTCCCAAAAAAGTGGTAATCTCGGTCAAATTACTCATAGTTTTACTTTATTACTATCTTATATTTAGGTGAGAACCTCAATTTATAGAATAATTTAACTAAATTTATCATATTATATTTTAGTTTGTTTCTCAAAATTTATAATGAAAAATCAACAATTTTAATGTCTCTTATTTAAATTATATACTCATATAAGTTGACCTACCCAATCCATACTCCATAATAAATTATATAATTTATCATAAAATAAATATAAATATCGAGATATCTGTCCAGCTCTCTCATTTCCATTTTAATGCGATAGAAATTTCCTTATAAATGCACCAAAGCAAACGAACTGCCAAATCGGAATGGGATTAAAATATGGGGATTGCTAGACATCGCCTTAACTTTTATTAAATTGCCCTAACTATAAAATTAAATTACATTTTTATCCTTCTATTTTTTATTCATCGCCCTAATATAAGTACTTGACCGGTGGTGGTGGCGAGTATGATCGGCTCGCCTGCGGTGCGGCGTTGAATGATGCGCATGCCCTGAAACTCTGCAACTAACCCGCCCAATTGCGTACTCCTCCTTGTCGCATTCTGTACAGTAATAAAAAGGCGTGGGAAAAAAGGATAAGAGAGTAAAATATAGGGTGTGAAAAAGAAACCAAAATTCATAAAAGTAGCGCAAGCCGGCAGCCAGGGTTTCGTTATGAGCATTGCTATTCGTCGCCCTAAAACTCTTTATTTGTCGCCCTAACATATATTAAAATGACTTAAATAACCTTCCTCCTCCTTGTGAGTTACCAGTCAGTAACCCCGTCGGGATGGGACTCCCCGTCGGCAGACACATCGTCCCGACAAACCAATGAGTAACCCCTCAAGCATCTCTCTCTCTCCATTTCTCCGAGATTCCTTGAATCCCTAAATTCGATTGATTGTGCCTTTCATCGTTGTTTGTGCGATTCCAGCTTCCGGTAAATGACGGATTGGTTTGGGACAACGGTACCAACCTTCTGGAGCCTTGTATCGATCGAATTGCCGAAACTGTTGGAAAGGTAAGCACTTTCCTTTGGTTTCGTGTCTTCTCTATTTGTTTTTTTTTTTTTTTGCTTTATTCTGTTGCTTCCTTCTAAAACCTTGTGGTGTCTCTTTTCAATTTTGGGTTATTGATGGCAGTACGAAACTTTGGCTTTGTTGTGTTGAGGTTTGAGCTTCGTTGCTCAGAAACGGGTGACCATGACCTTCTTCCTCCTCCTTTCTTAGCAACAGCAGCGGGTCAGCAGGTTGGGGAATCACAGCAGGTCGGCGTGCTAGGGGATTGTCTACGACGGCCGAATCCGGTTGGTGGGGTTCTTTCACGGCAATGACAGCAGGTCGGCGGCGTGGGGGAATGACGGCGCCGATGGGTTGGGGGGAACGACAGCAGTGGTTGGACGATTGGTCGGAGTTAGGAGTTATGGATTGCAATTGGATATAGGGATATAAATGTCAATTTATTATAATTTAGGGCGAAATAATTTAAAATTTAGGGCGACGAATAGCAATTCAGTTCGTTATTGCATCTGTCTTCGCTTTACCTGACTCTTCCCATGTGGCGGGTCAGTCAGTGGCTTCCCTGCCCCATCACCACCAAAACTCAATATTTCCTCCCTCATCCTCCTACTTCTCCACAATTGCATTTTCACCCCTTCCCTCAAATACTCATTTACCCGCCATTTTATCGTTTTTATTTTTAAATTTTTTTGCTCCGGCTTCGGTTTCCGTGAAAGTAATTCCATTCCTTTCCGTCCTCTCTCCCCAAACATTTCCTTAACTGCAGAATTTCAAATTATTACTTTCTAATAAACGGAGGTTTCAATTTTCTGGATTCATCTAATCCAGCCTCCCCGTGATTAATTACTTAGTAATCCTACTAAAGTAAAATAGTGCTGTATTTCTGCGTTCATATATTATCAGGAAATTAATCTCATGTTAACCCCTCCCGCCCTTATTAACGGTTCCACGTGTACCCTTATCCTCCCTTCCACGTCACACTTTCCTGTCCTCTTCCCCTTCTCTAATCCTTCCCTCCTTTTCCCCACCCCCTCTCTCTCTCTCTCTCTCTCTCTCTCCAGTCTCTTTCTGCAGTAGCTAAAGTAACCAAAAGCTTCCTCTCCCCCTATTTCTAGGGTTCCATTTCCCTCTTTACAATTTTTTCCTCCCAACATCACCACCACCAAACCTCTGGTTTCGCTTGAAGGCAGCCCGAGCTTTTTCTTCCATTTCCCTCCTAAAACCCTAACGATGGGGTCGATCCCCGATCCAGGCGAGGTCGCCGCCGACCTAACTCCTCAGCCGCTGCCGAGCTTCGACGACTTTCAGCGCCAGACGTCGCTCATGACCAGCTGCACTCTCCTCTGGAAGGAGCTCTCCGACCACTTCACTACTCTCGAGCAGAACCTCCAGAAGAAGTCCGATGCCTTGAAGCGCAAAATCCAGGCCCTCGACACCGACACCAAGGCCTCTCTGGCTTCAATCAAAAAACGGGAGGTCACAATCGACGGCAGCCTCGAGATCGCCCTCGAGCGCCTCGATGACCGCTGTGAGGCTGCTCTCAAGTCGATTGACTCCGATCGAGACGACGGCGAGGTCGACGACGGCGACGGTCTTCTCCTTGCTCTCAAGGCGTTCTGCTTGAAGATGAGGTCCAGGGAGTTCTGGAAGTTCGTGATCACCAAGAAGAAGGAGCTTGACGCGCTGAGGAGCCAGATACCGATGGCGCTGGGTGAGTGCGTGGATCCTCCTAGGTTTGTGCTGGAGGCAATTTCGGAGGTTTTCCCCGTGGACAGGAGAGGGGAGAGGAGCGAGAAGGGGAATGATTTGGGATGGGCTTGTGTTGTGATTCTCGAGAGCTTGATTCCCGTGGTGATGGACCCTGTGATTGGGAAGTCGAGGCTGATGGTGACGCCGACGGTGAAGAAGAGGGCTAGCGAGATTGCGGAGACGTGGAAGAGGAGCTTGGAGGAGCGCGGCGGGATTGAGAATGTGAAGACGCCCGATGTTCATACTTTCTTGCAGCATTTGGTCACTTTTGGGATTGTGAAGAGGGAGGACTTCGATTTGTACAGGAAGCTTGTGGTTGGTTCGGCCTGGCGCAAGCAGATGCCTAAGCTTGCTGTCTCTCTTGGCTTGGGTGGTGAAATGCCTGGTACTACTTTTTCCAGTCTTAGATGTCATTGCTATGTTTACTTTCTTGAGCTCTGTTCTGGTCAGTTCCTTAGTAAGCTGACCGTTGTTAATCCATTTGTTGGGAAGTTTTACCTTGGGTTCTATTGCTGCGCTGTTGTTGTTACCTGTTATCACTGAGAATGCGAGACAGGCTCATCGTTGATGCTTGTTTACCCAGCCATATTGTGATGATAGGCCTGGAATTTGGGGAATGTGTTTCTTATTATGACAGGGTAGAATGGTTGCTTTTGGTTACTAGGTTGATGTGAGCCCGATGAGCTGAAAAATGCCTTGTTTTTTACTGATATACAGAATGGTTCAAGAAATTGATCCATGAACATGCAATTTCTTTGTGTGGTTCATTAGTGTATGGTTCTTGGGAGGATTGTTGAAATGTGGTAGGGTGCGGTGTTTGTCTCTTTTCGATTGTACTGAGTTGCTTTTTTCAATTGCAGATATGATCAAAGAACTGATTGGTAGGGGTCAGCAACTGGATGCAGTGCATTTTACTTACGAGGTCGGCCTGGTCAACAAGTTCCCCCCAGTACCCTTGTTGAAGGCCTTTCTAAGGGACGCAAAGAAGGCTGCGGCTTCTATAATGGAAGACCCTGATAATCCTGGAAGGGCTACGGTATTTCCTGACACTCAAATCTTCTTATAGTTGTTGGTTCTTGTTTTCTCTCCAGTCGCTACATTAATTTTCAGTTATGATAGAAGCCTGAAATCAGCTTATCAAGTTACATTACTCTTTTTTGAAATATGATTAGTTCAAAAGAGCTTGTTGTTGAGCCCTTGAAAGTGGATTAACAATTGGCTGCTACACTCTCGTTCATTTTGGACTAGCCTGAAGTACAATACATTGCTTAAATGGTGAAGCATGAATGCTTTGGTTGTAGTACTGCTTTGCCCTCTTTTATCTTTTGTCTTGTGATGAGCAGCTGGAACCAACACCACTTTACATTATTTGCTTGGCTAGTATGACCTGTAAATAACACTGCTGTAACCAATTTCTTCCAACCTGGCCTTAGAAGTTCTGTTCCCTGAAGCTGTTTATTCTTTTGTGTGATTCTTGATTTTTTTAATCTTCTAACTCTATTGGATATCCCCTCTTTTGTCTTCTTTTCCACGTCTGCTTTCTCATGCTTGAAGGTTTCCTGCATTTGATGAGCAGTTGGGCTAATTATTAATCATGTGCAAGTATCATTGATCTCTGCCTCCTTTGCATTACCTATTTTGCAGCAACTTGCTGTGAGGAAGGAACAGTCAGCACTCCGTGCTGTCATCAAGTGCATCGAGGAATACAAACTAGAGTCCGAGTTCCCACCAGAGAACCTCAAGAAACGCCTCGAACAGCTGGAGAAGGTGAAGACGGAGAAGAAGAAGCCGCTGCCAGCTGCCATCCCTGCCAACAAGCGAACGCGTGCCAACACCGCTGTTCCAATGCCACCAGCCAAGGCCGGGCGTCTGACCAATGCCTATGTATCATCTTTCCCCTCACAGCCGCCAACATTTGTCAGGTCGCCTTCACACCACCCGCAGCAGTACCCAGCTGCCGGCATCCCAGCATACGCATCTCCGCCACCACCACCAACGGTCTATGGCACCCCGAGCCCTCCATCCCCATACGCTGCCTACTCCCCTGAAGCAGTCCACCACCCGATTCCCGGATCATACACTTTGAATTATATGCCACCACCACCGGCAGCATATGGAGGATATCCGAGTGGGTTCGCACAAGCTTATCATCAGCAGGCTTACTACTGAATAGACATCATCATGACTAGGTCTCTTCATTGAAGAAGATGGTAACCCACTGATAATATGATGACTCTCTTCACCATCCGCCACTCCCTGCTCGCGTTCCTGCTTATTATATCCCTTTCCTTCTGGTTCTTTCTTCTTCCTGCTAAACTTGGATGGTTTGTGTGTAATAGCTAACTGTTTTAATCTTAGCTATCAGCCCCCTCCCTCCCTCCTGTTGTGTGTTTAATTATAACTGTTGCCTCTGGTGCACTTACTTTTCTCCCATGGTGACAAGTTGTATTTCTAATGAAACTCTAGCTTTAGGTTTCTTGTGCAAAGGAATCTTCCATCTTCATAACTTGCACTGCATCCATCTCTCTGTTTTCTTATGTCTGATGGGACTCCATTGGGAGGAGAAAAGAGGAATGTAATGTAAAGTCTGCATCCGAGAAAGCATGTGGCTAAGGCTGGCTGCTGGATGGGAACGAAAGCAGGCTTGAAATTCAAAGGCTGGTTGGTTTGGCAGCTTTAGCATGCTGGTGAATACTTTTTTCATTTTAAAGGCACTGATTGCTTTTTTCGACGGAGTAACTTCAAGTTAAAGATAAGATCTTTTGTCTGTGGGAGACATGTTTTCCAGATCTCTGTTTCTCCACCGACCAGCAGATTCCCAGAATTTGATGAATAATTGAACCATATGTTTGTCTGGTCAGTGGTCACGGTCAAGCTATATGCCATTATGAGACCACGCAGGACGCAGCCAACGACTACAGTTTTGGGCCTATAATCCCCGATGTCCATGGACTGTCAACACTGGGCCTTCATTTCCAATGCTTGAGGTGCTTGGCCCATATTGTGTGTGTCCTTAATTCCTTATAATATAGGCCGCGATCTCCTGGCCTATTTCTTTGAACACACATGCCACAGGGGCGAGATAGGGCGTGGAATCGCGGTTGGTGGATTGTCAGATTGCACACCAAGTGTTCGATCATTTGCCTGTGAGAGGACGGGTAAGGCGGTTGCGTTCCCGCTTCAGTCTAACCGGCCGTATATTATGGCGACATTGTCATTGAGACGAGCTTGCTTCCGCTACCAACCGAGAGTGTATAATTTCTGCTCCAAGGCTTCCTCAATCGGCGACGGTGCGGCTGGGTGGACCAGAGAAGCACCGGCTGAGAGACGTCATTCGATCCCGAGTAGCAACATTTGCCTTTCTCATTTGTTCAGGGATCCTACCGATCACTTGGATCGATACGAAATCGAGCTCGTGGACGATGCTGCCTGGCAGGTATCGTCGGGCTTAGCCCATGCGTTTCGAGGATTAGGTAAGATACCGGATCCACATACTGCAAGTCTAGCAACTTATGACCAGGTTAATGAGCAGGATGACTCTGATTTTGATGAGATTGATAACATGAGAATCCGGGGGAATCTGTTCTACAAGCTTGATCGGCACTCCAAAGAGTACCAGGAGTACAGCTTTGATTTCCACCGAAGGAAGAAGAAAGGCGATGACGCTAGAGAGAGCGGAAAGAGGGAATCTTTAGCGAAGAATGAACAAACCAAGGAAAGCAAAAGGAACGAAGATTCATCGCCTGTGGAAGCGAAAAGAACAACATTGATTGCTAAGAACGGCAAGGCTTATACTTTGATGAATGATGTTTCTGGCAGTGTGGCGGAGGAGATGAGGAAGAAGGTTAGGACTCTGACGTTCAATCAGCTCACAGCGCCTTACCACGAGCCGTTCTGCCTGGACATTCACATATCAAACGCATCGGCTCGGGCATCCGTCATTCACCGAGGTACTAGTAAAGTGGTGGCTGTGGCACATTCGATATCGAAAGACATCAAATTCGACATGGGTTCCACCAGAAATGAAGCCACTTGCCGTGCTGTTGGGCAGATTCTGGCTCAGAGAGCACTGGAGGATGACATCCACAACGTGGTCTACACTCCCAGAAGAGGGGAGAGATTGGAAGGGAAGCTTCAGATTGTGCTTCAATCCATTATAGACAGTGGTCTTTCTGTGAAAGTAAAACTCAAGCAAAGGAAACACAAGAAGAAGCTTAGCCTCCCACAATGATTCCACCTCTCATAACATCCGCACATTGTGTAAAACCAGGTTACAACTTTCTTCCTTATGTTTGCCAATGAAGAAATGTGTGCTCAAAGAAGTTCTGATACAGGGGATACACAGAAGCGAGTAATGTAAAATCTCCCACTGCATTCTCAAAATTCTCAAACACAGAGTTTACTACCCAGTTACAGCAAAACACAGCAATCCAATCCAGCGAGATAGAAGAGATTACACATTCAACCAGACAACCACAATGTTCAACAAATTTCACTCTCAGTCATTAGCCGTTGCGAGCTGCAGCGCCAGCAAATCTTCTTCGGGAATGGTTCTAATGTGGCAATCCGAAGTCGGGTATGCAGCACAGAGCAACGCGTAGCCGCGCTCCACCACGTCGTCACTGAGCATGCCGTCACTCTGATCGACTGAGCCGCTGACTATCTTCGCAGGGCAAGTCATGCACACTCCGAGCTTGCAGTCATGAGGCACGGATAAACCGGAGTCCAGTGCCTTGGATAGTATGGTCTCGTCTGGCTCGACTTCAAGCTCCGTGGACTCGCCCTGATGTTCAATCACCACTTTGTATGATCGAACCGCGACGGATTTGAAGGATCTCTCAGTTCTGTAGTTGAATCCAGAAGAAGGGAATTTGCTGCTGAGGTTTGGTTTGGTGGGAGGGAGCAGAGGAGATGGAGCGAAATGGAGGGTGTGCGTAGCCATGGCCGAGGTGGGGAAAAGAGGTTTTCTGGCTGGTGCAGATTTGTGGCCTGCATTTGATAAGAGATAAGGCTATCTCTGGAACGAAGCCTGCAATTGTGAGGGTGGAATGGTTCAAAACCTAAAGTTGAGGACTGTCTGGGCAAAGTTGGGAAAGTTATAGGAGTTGAGTCAGCCAGCCTTGATGCACCGACGGAGTTTATACATATAGTTTAGCGCAGCGGTGACAACAAAATAATATAATGAGTGTATTTAAGACTCTTCAAACTTCTTATAAATACGGGTTTTTTTTTTCTAAAATATTGTATTTTTAAAAAATATCATCCAAAATACTACATATGCAAAAATATTTCCAAATCTACTTTCTATAAAAGCAAATTGGGCCGTGCATGCCCTAATTCGTTTAAAAAACTACCAATAATTCTAATTAAAGTGCACACGCCCAATTCGATTCAAAGTACCATTAAAATCCAATTGGTGTGAGAATAAGCCAAATTCAGGCTCGGGCACCCCAATTGGACTTATTCCCGCCTCAATTGATCTCTCTCCTTGTCGTTGAATGCGATGAAAGAAGGTGGAACTACATGTGGTGGCATGCTATGCATGGATGGAGGCTTGGTGCCTTTAGTTTGTTCTGCCTTAGGTTTGTTATTTATTTATATGTATTTTTTGACAGTATTATTTATTTATATACAAGGAGTGGGAAGGAGAAGGATGGTAAAGCTCCGGTGGATGGGTTTTTGGCCTCCGCTTCACTGATTTGGAGAGATGGGGACATGGGGTTCATAGTGTTAGAAGCCCAATTGTTATTTACACATAATAATAATCATTCATAATTTCCCATCGCTTGTCCATCTGAATATGAAGAGAATTAGGCTTGGTAACGGTCCAGATCGGGGGCGGGGAGGGCCTATCCGCCACCCTCCCGAAAACCTGTCGGGCTTTCATCGAATCCGCTCCACTAGCCCTGTTGGGCTCATTTTCAGGCCCAACCACGAATCCATCGGGTAACGGGCTACAATCGAGGTTAACAGGTTTACTCGCTACCACTGTCAGCCTGAAAAAAAAAATAATAATAAACAAAACAAACAAAATACAAAGAATGAAGCTTGGAAATTACTAGAGAAAAATCAAATGGCACGACTCCAATTCCAATTTCCAAAATTCAAATTGTCTAAACTCTAAACAAATAAAAGAGGATCAAGGCATCCAAATGATGCATAGTTGCATACAATACCATTTCCAAATCCGAATATCCAATCGAAACAAACAAGTTCTTGAACTTCAATCCAAGCAATGAAACAAAGTAACAAACCACCAGTCCACCAAAAACATACAGAAAAACTTAAAGGAAATGAGCCATCAAGGTCGCCTTCATTCCTCAGGGCATCACCATTCACCATCAAGCTCAACATTCAACAGCAGCAACTCTCTAGTAGGCAGTAGCAGCAACAACAAGCTTGATGCAACAGCAACTCTCCAGTAGGTAGCAGCAGAAACCACATGCTTGATCTTCAAGCATCAAAGTACAGGAGTGCGCGATCTTGAAAATCTGTGAAATCGCACAAATTATCAGCAGGTAGCAGCAATCACTATCTTGAAATTACTGAGCTAATTGTTCAATATTCACTCACTTCCTTTCTTAAAGTCTTCACAACTTGGATCCTCCATTGTCAACACGGAGAACCAGCTTCCCAATCTGTTAATCCCATCCATTCCAGCATCTGCAGACAAAAGAAAGGAGAACTAAGTTAGTTAATTTCACAATGTAGTTGAACCTAGGGGTGGGCGTTCGGTCGGTTCGGTTTAAACCGAACCGAAATAGTATATGCCGAATTTCCGAATTAGCCTGCACCCCAACCGAATTCGAACCGAGCTATAACTCGGTTCGGTTTGAACGAACCGAGTTATATTCCGGTTCGGTTCGGGTTACCTACCTATTCCGAACTTCCAGACCCCTCCCTCAAATCTCTCTCTGCCATTAATCCGCCTCCCACTCCCATTTTCCTCTGCCCGTCAAACTACTCCCTCCATCTCCCTCTGCTACTTCCCCTCAAATCTTGCTTTCATTAATCCTCCTCCCACCTCCTCCTCTTCCTTCTCTACCGCCGTCCAGAATCACCGTCGACCAACTCTCCCTTCCATTCCCCCCTCTCTTCTCTTCTCTTCTCTCCTCTGCGACTTTGACTGCTGCGAGGGTGGAGAGAGATGAGGCGCGCCGCCGTTGCATGCCACCATGGATCTGGAATAGGATGTCCCCGCCGTCCGCCGCAGAAGAGGCGCCCCGCCGTTGCATGTCGCCGCCGCCCGCCTCAGAAGAGGCGCCCCGCCGCCCGCCGCAGAAGAGGTGCCCCGCCGTTGCATGCCGTCGTGGATCTCGGATAGGGTACCGCCGTAGACAACGACATGACACAGCCAATATCGTGAACGGCAGGAACAGATCTAGATCCCGCCTTAGTAAATCCATTATGTTTTTGTTTAATTCAAATGTTTTGTATGCTTTTGCCAATCTGTGATTTTTGTTTTTGGTTGGTTTTCTGAGTTTGGTCGGCGATGAGAAGAGAACGGAGAGAGGGGAAGGTGATGGACTCCAGTGGCCGGCGAGAGGCAGCTGTTGGCGGTAGCGCATGTACGGCAGAGGATGGCGAAGGCAACGAGGAAGGACTTTGTAAGAAGAAGAAGATTTTTGGTCTGGGCTAGGGTTTTAGTGGTAGACTTTTTCTAGTGGGCTTGGGTTTGTGGGTTTCTAATTGTTGGTTGTGTGTGTTAGAGTGGGCTTGTAATTGTGGGCTGTGTGTGGAAGCCTGGGAGGTGGATGAATTTCGGTTTGTTCGGTCGGAATTCGGAATTTCGGGTTCGGTCGAGCGACCCTGGTTTCCGAAGTGTAGAGTTTTGCCTTCCGAATTTCGAACCGAGTTACAATAGTTCGGTTTCGGTTCGGTTTTGTTCGGTTTCGGTTCGGGTTTACCGAACCGGATGCCCACCCCTAGTTGAACCACAAACAGAGCGGGAAACAATTGTATAAATTCCTTACCTTTACTAATACCATCCTTAATCCAGGTACGGGTGCACATGATTGCCTCAACAGTTTCAATGTGCAGCCTACTCCGGTGAGGATCTAGCAGCCTACCACCAGAGCTGAAGGCTGACTCTGAGGCCACAGAAGTCACTGGTATAACAAGCAAATCTCTTGTTACCTCTTTCAACAGAGGGTATTTTCCAGCATTCACCCTCCACCAATCCAAAACACCAACATTTGGAGCTCGAGGACTGACACCCTCACTTAGATAATGGTCCAAATCAGAGCACAGTGAAGTTGTTTTGGACCTTTTCTTTCGACTTAGATAAAGCTCAAAGCCAAGGTCGCTCGAGGTAGGAACATCAAGACCATTACCAGAACCAGAGGAGGCTGAAAGATCATCCGTAGCCCTCTGTATCAACTGATACTCACGGACCACATTATAAACAGTGGCCTTAACAATCTTAGGGTGAAGAGTAGAATCAAGGCTTTGAAACTTTTCATAATAGTACCCAACCAACTCAAGCTTGTATGCAGGATCAAGAACAACAGCTACAATCAACAACACATAAATATCAGTCCAGTATTTGTTGAACTTGATCCACATTCAGTTCAAAATTCAAGTCACAGATGTTTGGAAAGAACAAAATAACAGTAGGATAATTGATTCTAGAAAACAGATCAGAAAGTTTTTTGAAAACCTCAAGTTTTTTGGAGATAACAGTGGCAAACTTCCAATCATCACTGCTAGGCAAGGAAATATAGTTAGGTTCTCTCTGACTCAAAAGAGTGAACACATCCTTGTATGGAATTGCAGGTTCAAGCATAGTGAGTGTGGAATTCCATCTTTTTGCTTAGCAGTCTCATCAAAGAACTCAACTCTCCTTGGAGTTGCAGTCCAATATACCACACTTTCCCTAATCTTTTCAATCTCATCTTTCACAATCACGTTGAGAATATGAACAAAGCATCTCATTTGCAGCAATGAAGCATTCATTATGAAGTCAGAAAGAACCATCTTTCTCTTAATCTTATCAATCATGGCATCATTTGTAGAACAATTGTCAATAGTGATAGTGGATAACTTACAATCCACATTCCAGGACACGAGGGCCTCTCAAAGCACACTTACTAGTTTCTCACTAGTTTGAGGAGCATGAACATAGAGAAACCTATGATACACAACATCAAACAAGAGGCAGTCCAAAATAATTAGTTAGTGGTTAAAGACATAAGCAACAAAACTGAAAGTACAGAATTGAAAGAGTCAAACAACCATATACCTTAGCAAATGGCTCCTAAGGTTCCACTGATTGTCAACATAATGAGCAGTTACAGCTATGTAAGCCCTTTTCTGATTACCTGATGTCCACATGTCAGTGGTGACACTGTGACAGCCATTCGACCTTTGTTACCATCAATCAACTTTTGCATCTTTTTCTTCTCAATTCCATACATTGCAAGAATATCACTCTTACAAGTGTTTCTACAAGGAACTTTGAACAAGGGTTACAGAGAATTACAAGTGATCCACCATACCAAGTGGATACTCATGCACCAAAATCATAGTGACAAGTTCCTTCCAAGAAACCTCTTCATTAAACTGACCAGTACAGATTTCTTTCCTCCCAAAAACACCATTTGGAAGGAAATTAGTGGCAATCTTTTTCTAATGGCCATCATGAATATGTTTTTGAACACACACTTTTTTATGATTCCTCAAATGAGAGGTACCATTGCTAGTAGGGTTGGAAGTTTGGTACCAGTATTTGGGATATACTGAATACCGTACCGAATTTATCACTATTTGCTATTACCGAATACCAGTTTATTTTTTAGGGATTGGATTGGGATTCATTTTGGAGTGCTATTCGGTATTTGGGATTACAGGATTGGGATCGGTATATACCAATATACCGAGAAATACATAAAATTAAAAATTAATTAAATATAGCTCACAACCTTTTGTCATTTCTCACTCTTTCACAACTTAAAAGCCTCATCCAACTCAATTTTGACTTTCCAATTTAAGTCACTCTCGTCTCTCACTTAATCTCCTTTTATTTTCATAACACCAAAAAGCAAACACTAGTATTAGTCGTCTCTCAGCCTCCAATTCGTCAAATTAAAGATTACCAATGACAATAATTTGAGATGTCACCTCTCCTCCATTCTCCTTATCCATATCCTAGATATAGGCAAACTCAAGACTCTTTGCTTAGTCTCTTTGCCCTAAATTAAACTATCAAATCTAATTTATATATT